GTTCATTAATCGATAGTTGGTTAATCAGGAATGTTCCAGAACCTTATGGAATTAGGGTTGGATGAAAATCACTCCATCCCACATGGGAAAGGAGTGAAATTTCGTGGTTAGGCCTCCATCCCACATGGGAAGGAGTACTAAACCTAAGGAGGCATCCAAGGCTATAAATAGGGCCTTAGGGATTTCAATCCTCCTTGCACCTTGGCTTGAAGTTTCGCCATCCCTTCTTCCTCCCCCTCTTAGGGACGATTTCTAACCCCTTTGGGTTTGTGAAATTGACCCTTCTCCTAGTTATTTTATTCCACTCTTTGGTATCATTGGGTGTGATACCATTAGAGGGATTCTGGTTTGGATCCTTTCATCCAAGCAACTTCATGGAGGTTCAAGATCTCAAGCATGGAGATCAAGGGCTACATAAGAGGTATGTTTTCTTACTTATGTTTTAGTTTTCTAGGGTTGATGTAATTAGCATGAAGCCATAGATCCATAGGTTGCATGTACACTTAGGTATATCGTTGTTTCGATTTTTTCGCTACCTAGTTTTAGAGTGTATTTGATGCGTAGAAAACCCAACAGCATGTTCCTCCAATTCGCTCAAACCAAGGCTCTGATACCAACTTGTAACACCTAAAAATTCAATCCAATTTAAACTTTTAAAAACATTTTAATCCGTTACGTCATTACATAATTTGTTTTCAAAATACAGTTATCAGAGTATCCCAGTATCAAATCATAAAATTCATAACAGCGAGAGGAGCGGTACGATCATGCCTTCGCCTTCCCGCGATCGCCAGAGGTACCTGAAACAACAACTGAAACTGTAAGCCTGAAAGCTTAGTGAGCTATCCCCCAAAATACCAACCACATAACCATGTCATATAAACATATAACCAAACAGCAAGCATAATGAGCCTTCAGCCTGACTGGACCGCCTCGCAGGCCTTCAGTCTATCTGGACTGCTCTCCGAGCCTTCGGCACGTCTGGACCGCCTCGCAGGGCCTTCAGCCTATCCGGACCGCTCGTCGGGCCTTCGGTCTGGCTATCATACCCTCTTGGGTTTTGTAGTCTATCCGGAACGCCCTGGGTATGTTGGCCTTCAGCACAAAGCAGGACCGCCTCAACCCAACACCCAAATCAAACAACATGTGCATATACATTCATAGGTTATCATAATAACAGACAAACCGATCTAACAGACCAAATAGCATAGCAACGTCCTAAAACCAAGACACCGACCTACCCATGTCATATCATAGCATAACCCCGTAACTAGGATATCGACCGAACTCGGTCACTAAGCGTAAGCATATAACAGGATGCAAAACAATGCACATATCATGTAATAATCCAAATACAAATCCATAAGGGCCGGCCTTGGTGCCTTAGACCCTGTTGATATAGTGAGGATAACTCACCTCGCAACTGACGTCTGAAACTAGAAAGCTCAACTCCCGGATCACCAACACGAACTCCACCACCTATAATTACCATAAAACCCTTTCTCATAAATTTCCAAATTACCAGAATACCCTCAGAAGTCAACTGGTCAATTCTTGGTCAAAGTCAAAGTCCACAGTCAAAGTCAACAGTCCATGTTGACTCGACTCGTCGAGTGTAGTTTACCGACTCGCCGAGTCCTTCCTGAACTCGAGAAGTCGTGAAATCCTTGATTGGCTCGTCGAGTTCCCCTTTTACTCGCCGAGTTCATACGTGTCCAAGAATTGGGAGAAACCCTAGCCGACTCGCCGAGTCTTCGAACGACTCGCCGAGTTCAAGGCAATCTTCAACTGACTCGCCGAGTTTGTTCATCAACTCGACGAGTTCATGACCATCTTCATAAGACTCACCGAGTTGACTATGCAACTCGCCTAGTCCTTGCAGACCTTCATCCATGCAGACACTTATTAAGCCATGCCAAGGTTCCAGATTACAGATCCAAGCTTCTAAGGCATGATTAACACGTAAAGTTGCAAACTTTACACACATGCAAGGCCCTAAAGGCTCTAAATGACCAATCTAAGCTTCTAATGGAACTTTACACCTTAGGAGAGTCTCATCCTTGCAAGAGCTGGAAACTTTATGGACTTAGGACTCAAAAGAGGTTCAGATATGAAGTTTCAACTTCAGATCTAGCTCCCAAACCATAATCCCTTCATAAATAGCTAAAGAAAACCCTAGTCTTCACCTATGAATGATTCTAGGAGAAAAGAGGTTAAGGTGACTGCTGGTTACCTCTAAAATGTGCCCAAGCTGAAGTAGACTCTGGATCCACACAAAACCCTTGATGCTAGCCTCTTGATCTATAAGTTCCCTTCACAAAATCACTTCTCAAAGCTCCAAAACACTCTCCAAGCTCACACTCACGGAAATTAGGGTTTCTGCTCTCAATGGGTGATAGAGGACAGTGGGAGGCGCTAATGGTCCAATATATAGGGTGCAAAAACCTTGAGAATTAGGGTTTCCACTGCCAGTTCCTACTCGTCGAGTCCCCCATGCCGACTCGATGAGTCACTCATTAATTGACGTGTCCTGGCCCGCTGCTACTCGACGAGTCATAGCGTCAACTCGTCGAGTAGACCTTAAAACATGAAATCTAAATGGAATAATAAGGATACCTGACGGTTGGGATGTTACAGTGCTTTAAGATATGAGTTTGTTTTGGTATCCTTGATCATAAAGGTGCAAGATTTATGTGAAGAATGGTGTCATGCATGCTTTAAGCCCTCTATTAAGTCCCTTTTTAGCTTAAGAGCTTCATTTAGTCATGTAGGGACATAAAGTTGGAAACTTTACGTGGTAATCCAGCTCAAGGATGTTAGATCTACGTTGTGGGGCCATGCCTTTATGGATTAAGTGCTTAATGGTTGAGCTGTTCAATCTCGGGCAAACACGATGTGTTTGCAAGTCAACACGGCGTGTTGGCTAGGGATTTCTCAATTATCTGGATGATGGAAGAACACGACGTGTCCAAGGGGCAACACAACGTGTTTGGTCAACATGGGTTGTTGACTTTGACTTTGACCAGGAGTTTGATTAGGGTGACCATGAGTTATGTTGGGTTATGTTTGGGCATTAGGGTAAGGCCCATGTAAGGTGTTTGGGTCCAATTTGGAAAATTGGGCCAAGTATGGGCCTGGAGTGATTAATTGGTTTTGGGCCTTTTAGATTTCGAGTTTGGGCCTCATCCTTGGACCAAGCTAGGTTAGGGGTAAAATGGTCTTTTTACCCCAAGTATGGATTTATGGATTATGGATTTAAACCCAGTTGTTAATTGGGTGTTGTTTTGATGTTGACAGTTCGGGGATCTGTCAGCCAGCAGCTAGGGACCGTCTGTGTGATTCGGCAGTGCGAGGTGAGCCTCCTCACTGGGTTTAGCGGGTCGAAGGCACCAATGCCGACCCATGGTTTTTATGTTAGAATGCTAGATGTATGCGTAACTCTTGCATACGTTATGGAATGGTATGCTTATCGGGCTAGGCCCGATGACAGGCAGGGCCTGAGGAGTATAGTGTATGCTGGTTATGAGTATCTGTTTTATGCTTACCGGGTGAGGCCCGATGCCGAGCGGGGCTCAATGACTGTATGGTATGTTGTGGTCTTTGTGATTATTGCATGTGTTAGTAAGGTTATATGTTTATATGGTTATAGGGTTATATGATTATATGTGCTTCGTGTGGGGCCCAATGGCAGGCAGGGCTGGTAATTAACAGATATGTAATCCGAGCGGGGCTCAATGTCGGGCGAGGCCCAAGGTCGGGTAGGGCCCGAGGACGAGTGGGACTCGAGACCCGGCGAGGCTCGATAGAGAGCGGGGGCCCAGTATGTGATTTATTATGTATGGTATGAGGTATCTTGGGGAACTCACTAAGCTTTGTGCTTACGGTTTTCAGTTTATGTTTCAGGTACTTTGGTTTTCAAATGGAAGAGCTCGGGATGATTGTAGAACACACACCACATGTTTCCGCATTCTGTGATTTACTCTAATTCGATGATGTTTTGCTAACTCTTGATTACCTTGGTTTTATGGAAATACTATGTATTAATGATTTATTAATCTAAAAACGTAAATTTTATGTCATTATTTTTGTGACGTTACATTTCTTTATTTGTTTTATATTTTATTTAATTTTATTATGTAATTTTTTATTTTCCTAAATGTGTATCTTTTGTTAGATTGTATATAATCCTATATTTTTATTTTCGATTAATACTTTTTTTAAATAGCTAAAAATATAGTGGCATGGATTTGTGAATATCCCTTAGGTAAGTAATGGAGAAATAATAATGTGGCGATCGGATGAAACATTTTTTATGTGATGGTGAGCGTGTTCGGTAAAAATAGCTGGTAACAAGTAGCGGTAGGTATGTAGCTTCTAGCTGGTAGCGTTTTGTTAAACGCTACGTGAAGTAGCAATTGGATTTGAAGCATTTGTTTAAACTAAACGCTAAATGTTTGTAGTGCCAAACGACGTTTTCTGTTCAAAACGGAACATTTTGTCAAACGCTAGAAGTTAAAAGCTCTCAAACAGTCTGTGTCGAAGACGTCCAGAATAAGATATGTACCGTATTCAAATTGGAATAGTAAATTATAGTTTTGACACATTAAGCATACATTATATTTTTATATAATAATAACAAAATTATATAATATTATTGATAATGGTACTATTTCTTTTATAATAATAATATACTTATATGCTATCTATTTTGTAATTATATATATACTTAATTGTGGGGAGGCTTGTCTACAGGAAATTTTCTCCACTTCTGATTTTGGCCACCAAACTTTTCCGTCTTTAGACTTTTGCCACTTTAGCCTCCACCGCCTTTGACTACCGCCTCCTTTTTCTCTCTTCGTATCTGGATCATTATATTATATTATATATATACTTAATTGTGGGGAGGCTTGTCTACAGGAAAATTTCTCCACTTCTGATTTTGGCCACCAAACTTTTCCGTCTTTAGACTTTTGCCATTTTCTTTCAGTTTCATCCTCCAAATGTATCTACCTTCCAGCGCTTACCTCTCTTTCCAATCCATTCTTATTTTCATATCCAAACCACCTTTCGGTTCGGTCACCAACATCGCAGTCCTGATGTCATCCAACCCTAACGAGCTTGGCCGCATCAACAAAGACGTCCTTATTCCTGTAGTTCGAATCGGAGCTGGAGTCGGGGGATTTCAGAGTTGGGACGATGATGATGTGAATGATCGCTTCTCTCTGCAGCTGAGGAGGTAATTGGAAAACAGCAATGAGAAGAAGTGAATATGTAATTCCATTTGCAGACTCGGGTGTGATTTATTCTATAAAGTCTTGATTTGTGAATCGTATGCACATTTTTTTATTGTTTCTTTAACCAAATGAAGAATTTGAAATCACCTTTGTTTTTGGTATTGGCTTCTCATGTATCATAGGAGTCGATTTCATCCTAAGGTGGTACTATAACCTGGACTTATGTTTGTGATTAATGCTCAAAAAATGGAGTCCATTTGAGTTGCACGACAGGTGTTTGACGAAATGCTTAAAATATATATTTAATCCCAAAATTTGCTATGTATCACCTGTAACTCATCTTTGTGCAACATTGAGTCTTTAGATTAGGAAATTGAGACCTTTCAATCTTTGATTTTGAATTTGCAGGTCTGTAAATTAATACTTTTAATTCTCTAATTGGAGGTCAAGGATTAAAAGTTCGAAGATTGATATGTGTGACAGGGAACTCAACAGAAAAAGAAGGTAATCTCGAAACTATATCAAAATAATTGGGTTGAAAGAAGACAAAGTTTAGAAGCATGGATGACTTGAATAGAGTATAGGATTTAACTCCAACACCACAAGGGGTTTTAATGGTGAACTGAAGTGGCAACAAAAGAGCAAGTAGACAACAAAAGAGCAAGTAATTCCTTAAAATAAATCATTGGCGTGTATGGTGGTCATGGTTTTGTGATCATGCTAGATGTTGATTCTTGATTATAATATTATGTTTTTAGGATTATAATTAGGCACAGTGAGTTCTTGTGTGGCTCTGTTTGTAACTGTTGCTTATTTTTTTGGGAATTCTTTTGGCGGCATGGATTTCATCTTAATTTTAGTGATTAGTTTCATAAATTGTTCTTATCAGTTAAATAGTTCTGTTTAGTTTTCAATCATGCAAAAGCTTATTTTGTAGTGATAGAGATGTCTTTGTGTGTGTTTTTGTTGATATTTCTAGAGTTTTTGTTAATTTCAAGCATATCATAATTCCTGAAACTTTTTATTTCTTTTGATTTTTCGCTTAATTAATTATGTTTACATCTTGTTAATGGATAGAGATAATTTTTGCGGCTGTCATATCATTCAAACTCTATGGTTTTGAAACAAGGTTTATGTATATGTTTTTGTGCTTTATTTTGATGAGATTGTAAATTCAACAGAGACTCCAGTTCCAAGTTCCTGAGGAGGACGAAAAGTTCAAGGAACTCCTTGATAAAGGTAATTTTTGCGGATGTCATATCATTCCAACTCTATGGTTTTGAAAAAAAAATTCTGCATATCTTTTTATACTTTATTTTGATGAGATTGTGTTAATCTTTTTTGTTCAGATTTAGATATCACGTTGGCTGGGGTTCATAAGGAGAAGAAATTGTCTTTCATCAAAGCATGGGAGGAAAATAAAAAGTCAAAGGTGAGTAGGTAGTCCTTAACAATTAAGATTGCTTCTATCCACCATAATAAGCATGTTGCTTCCATGGTTATCATGTTCATTAAAATCGTATCACTTAGCTTACTGCGTTGCTGACATGACTTTACTGCAGAGTTCATTGTGTTACAAGAATTTCATCAACTACCTGTGAAGTGATGACCTTCTTTAAGGCAAATTTATGCAATGAGATTAGTGTTTTATCATTTTTTTTCCTTTCAACTATCTTGGTATAAAAAAACAATCGGATCGTTTTTTTTTATCTATTTTATGTTAGGTATTGAGATTATCATTACTACATCTAGATGATAGATTGATATGTTGAAGTCCCATAATACTAACTTGAGGAGAGTCCCAAGATATTTCTTTTACAACCCATAGAAAGTAATTACTTTTTTTCAAATTTCACCATATATTCTTATTTAGTCCTTTTTTTGTATTTTATGGAAACATTGGTGCTTGAAATTTGTACATATTGTGATTGATTCAGAAGACTTAAAAGTTAACTATTCCTATAAAATGTATAATAAGGAGCTTTTTCCAAAAACAAGGTTTGACGATCTGGTCAACCTAAAAAGGTGTTGACAAGCTTAGAGTTGGTGTTCTTTATTTGGAGAAAATGAAGGAAGAGGTGGTTGTTAAAAGTAGAAGGTAATCAATTCAACGTTTTTTATATGTGACCAACTTTTTTTTACTGTGAAATGGAAATTCGGTATTCATGTATACTTAACAATCTATTTTAAATGCTTAATCAATAACATTTTTTACAATGGAATAACCTCAAAATCATAAAAAATTTGCAAAAAAAATAAATTTAATAAATGATTATAACAATTTACAAAAAAAAAAATATTTGTAATACCAACTGACCAGCAACGCGGGGGCAACTCTTTCCTAGTTATAAATAAAACCATGACTTCGGTGACTTTTGTGTGTACGAAATTCATAATTTGTACCGCCTATACACGTATTGGTCCTGTAGTAAAAGTAAGGTTTTAAAAAGTTGCGTACTATGTTTCGAAGGTTTGTACTTATACCACACTTTAACAAAATATCGTTTTAAAACTTATATATGTATATATATATAAATAAATAATTGTAATATATATATATATATATATTATATATATATATATATATATATATATATATATATATATATATATATAATTTTTATCTTAAGTCACGTCTTATAAATGACATGGCTCGCCACGGCTCGTAAATACTTGAAATTTGACATTGTCATCAAGTCACGCCTAATGTTATACAGTACCATGGTTATAAACCCAAGTTTACTTTTTATTACTATGTGGGACACATTTTCACACCCAATTATTTTGCAATCTTTTATGGGATAATGACTTAAAAGGGTAATATATTTTTTTGATTTGTACACATTTGGTCACTGAGTTTTTTTTCGTCCACATTTACCCCTTCAACTTGTTAAACTGTACACATTCAGTCCTTATGACCGGTTACTCCAGGTTAGCCGGGAAAAATGACTTAATAGGGTAATATATTTCTCATTTTGTACACATTTAGTCCTTAATATTTTTGTACACATTTAGTCATTAATTTTTTTTTGTTTCAAAATAAGTCATTTTTGTTTTTTTTCTCATTCAGTACTTATGAATGATTTCTTTAGGTTTTTCTACTTAAAAGAGTAATATATTTTTTGATTTCTACACATTTGGTCACTGAGTTTTCTTTCGTCCACATTTACCCCCCTTCAACTTGTTAAACTGTACACATTCAGTCCTTATGAGCGGTTACTCCAGGTTAGCCGGGAAAAATGACTTAATAGGGTAATATATTCTAATTTTGTACACATTTAGTCCTTAATATTTTTGTACACATTTAGTCCTTAATATTTTTTTGTTTCAAAATAAGTCATTTTTGTTTTTGTTCTCATTCAGTACTTATGAATGATTTCTTTAGTTTTTTCTCACGACATCTTACGTGGGACAATCATTGATGAAGTGTGTGGGGTTGTTGATGTTTATGTGTAACGTCTCATTTTCACAACTAAAAATTTTAATTTTTAAATAAGGCAAAAGTCCCTAATTATAAATCCATTATTAAGAAAAAAAGGTTTATTCCAAAAATACATTTATCGAAAATAAGAGTAATATAAGAAACGCGGAATCCTCAATATTGTTGATGAGTGTGTACAGTCATGCCTTCGCCTTCCCACGATCAACGATATAACCGAAAAACATAAACAACTGGGTAAGCACAAAGTTTAGTGACTTTCCCCCAAAATACTCGATACAACAAACGTATTATCATGCATAACGAGCCCACACTCATCAGATTGGAATACCTTGGCCCAATCAGTCATCAGACTGAAATACCAACATGCAACAGGTCCAATTAGTCATCGGACTGGAATACTGTCACACCCCCAAACCGGAACGGCGGAAACGTTCGGGGGAGGAGGACTTCATGCTTAGTATCACAACACATGCATCATAGTAATCAAAGTAACAACAACCATTGCATTAATATTAAAGTGTTTACATTGTATTCAATTCACAAAAGATTGACTACAAAAGTAAATAACAAAACAAGGACATGAAGCTACTACGCTTCATCTTCTGAATCCCAGTGCGCGTACCTGTCTACTAGTTTCTTGAGAATACAAGTTATTTTGAAAGAGAGTAGATCAGCATTTAAGCTGGTGAGTTCATAAGTATTTTTGTTATAAAAAGTATACTCTAAATTCTTTTGAAAAAGTTCGCCTGTTCCTCCAGAAAATCCTATATTTTCTGATGTGATGAATGACAAGTAAAAATGACTCTTACTATTCCTTCTATTAGTACATAATGAATACAAATTATATACAATCCAGATCAAACAGACAATCGATTGTGTGAATCTGCCCTAAGCCCACATCTAAACAAGGAACAGGAAATGAGGCGGAAGTTACACATCCCATTGTTTGTTAGATCCTTATTGTATATATAACCCTAACGTATTCACCAGGTGCTTACAGAGTTAATTGTAATAATTCTTTTATATTTGATGAAAATATTCCTTAAGAAAATCATATATTTCATTTAGTAAAATGGTAACCACAATAGTTCCTTGTATAATCACTTAGTTTATACTAGCTATATATAATCTAATATCGAACGGACAGTTAAATGTGTGAATCTTCCCTAAGCCTACAACCAAACAAGGAACAGGAAGTAAGGCGGAAGTCACACATTTCACTGCCTATCGGATATTAATTATATATAACTCTGATGTATAAACTAAGGAATTATAGAATTAACTATTTAAGGTCCTTTATGTTATACTAGTTTAATAATATGTATTAAACCTTTTATAGATAGGTTTCTAGTTTCACTAACTCTATTGTGAAATATTGTTTTCAGTAATAAATGTTATTGTTTTCAGAAAGTTCTATCGAAAACTGTTTATCTCAAAAGAATGATGTTTACCATATAAAATCCTATATCTTCTATAGAACCGACTGGTTGTAGTCTTACTCGATCCAATATCGAAAAGCACAAGTACAAATACTATACTTACTGTAATGTTATCTAGTTTTGTTGATAGGTTAAACTGGCTGAAGACCGGTTTGTTCTGGAAATCTGATGCGACTATACTACCCTCCTATGATTACTTAATACATACGAGTTGTACAAAACCGAGATCGAACAGACAGTTGAATGAGTGAATCTGCTCTAAGCCCACAACCAAACAAGGAACAGGAAGTAAGGTGGAAGTCACACATTCCACTGTCTACCAGACTTCAATTTTGTCTAACCCTATTGTACATATTGAGTAATCATATAGTTAATATCCCTTAAGATTGTTCATGAAAAAGTATATTACTACATAAATATATCGTTGTTATCTAGTTTTGTTGATAAGTTGAACTGGCTGAAGACTGGTTTGTTCTGGAAATCTGATGCGACGATACTACCCTCCTATGATTACTTAATACATACGAGTTGTACAAAACCGAGATCGAACAAACAGTTGAATGGGTGAATCTGCCCTAAGCCCACAACCAAACAAGGAAGAGGAAGTAAGGCGGAAGTCACACATTCCACTGTCTACCGGACTTCAATTTTGTCTAACCCTATTGTACATATTGAGTAATCACATAGTTAATATCCCTTGAGATTGTTCATGAAAAAGTATATTACTACGTAAATATATCGTTGTTATCTACTTGTGAGTTTTATGACCATACTATTAGATACGACGTGTATCGGACGCCAATATCATTTATGACTTTGTCACCCGTAGACCTGCCGGTCCTACTGTAACTAACAACAAGGTGCAGGATTGTCAGTCCCGTATAGATCTATACACAAACTCACGCTCTCCCTCAAGGAGACTCTGGTTGATAAGGGTAGTCTTCCACTAGTACATATGTAAGTACCCAAAGACGTGTCTAACAAACTAGGCTAATGACTTTACAAGTAATAATGCGAAAACCCTTTTTATAAATAACAGATAAGTTTATAAAAAGATTCTTTCGTTCCCTAAACTATACTTATTATAGTTTATAAGCTTATTTCCATGTTTCAATAAGTTTCATGTTTTAAATATAGTTCAATGGTAAGAAAGACATAATAAGCAATTTATATTTTAAAACACAACATTCTTTATGTTTTACTTGTATCCCCCCCCCCCCCTAAAACATTAAAACTTTGGAAAAACATGGGGGTATGAACTCACCTTATGTTGGAGATTCGATTGAAGATATGATATAGGATGATAAGTTTCACGAGTGAAGTCCCGAAGCACAAACGAGTCCTAAATAACATATAATGATACATATAGGCATGCAATTAGTGAATCTAACCACAAATGTGTTTAGCAAACAACCTAGAATGAAAGAATAACTCACCAAATGAGTGTTAGAAGCAAGTTAGGAGGCTGAAAGGGAGTTCACGACTGGGCTTGATGTGTTCACGGCCGTGAAGGGTTCACGACCCTTGAAGGTTTGAAGGGTTCACGACCCAAAAGATGTGAAG